AAATTTGGTGCCACCAGGACTAGCAAGCCATTCTGTTAAGGTAAACATTGTTTTTGTTACATAATCTTCATGAGTGCGTAAAATCTCGACTGTCATATCTTAATTTTGCAACTTTTCGAGGAAACTTAACGTATACGTACCGTTAAATTATCTTATCTCGAACTTTGTGGCTTTTTTGTTACTGGGAAGGCATTGTCCATAATTTCCTATATTTCTTCTGTAGATAGCTCACCGAATCTGTTTTTTTCGTCCATGTTTTTCTCGACGAAACTTGGCTTCCCGCGAAAAAGTTTATGCCGAGCAACATTTATCGCATTCATTTCCATATAAGGTCAAACGCAGGTATAATGGCTGGTAACCAAGATCCAGTGAGCCAATCAGAAAGCTAGAATTGCATTATCCGAGGTTGAGAATTTAATAAGGCCATATAGTCATTACCATGTTAACTCCTTTCCTTGAGTCTCCCCAAGTCACCAGATATGTTTTTACTTTGTTGATCAGTCCTCTGTCATACTAATGCTGTTCTGTAGTCCTCCACCTGTGCTTGGTTGTATATTGTACCTCAAAATTAAAATTGTTAGGCCTATTGTTGCCTTTTCTTCCAGTGACAAAATCAAAGGACAATAAAGTTTTTGTTCCATAAAATAATTTGTTAATTAAATTAAAATAATTTACGTTGATTTCCTGCAAAGGCCGAAAGAAAGAAATTAAAACAACATTGATATACGATTTTAATTAATCGTTAGGTTTGGATCAAGAAAAACTTCTTGCTGTCAGTGGACATCCAAAAGATGTGGAAATAGTCAGAAGTGACAAGCCACCATTTTTGTTGATCTTTAGACAGGTGAGAAGGCGCTGATTCTGATCAATATATGCCAATTTATAAGAAGCTTTGTGTAATTACTGTTTTGTTGTGAACTTCTGTCTGATATCAGTGTTTTTGGTCACAGTGGAAAGGTAATGTTTATAAAATCCATCATATCTTTTCACTTGCACAGGATTGGTCTAAATGCGTCACATGACTGAATATACCCCAGCTAAGAGTGGGGAATATCCAAGCGATAGTCCCCAATTTTAACATCACTTGTGTTAAAAAAAATATTTGAAGGAAAAGAAACACAATAGCCTCAATTTGGCACAAAAATATGCTCTCCTCTTTGTCCTTTAGGCATTATCACTTGCTTGAAGCTCACAGTTTTCTTCAAGCTTTGCTCTTGCTAAACTGTTCACTTCTGGGAACAGATGTTGTCCATGTACAAATATCCAAGCATATTTTTGCACCTAAGGGAGGATATTGTCTACATCTCCTTTGAACATACACCCTTAAGACCAGAAAAGTGTCCCCAGAGAAGAACTGTCCGATTATGGGTTTTTTAAAAGTAGTAACAGTATGTGGCTCCATCTATGACTAATTGACTACCTATCGGAGCTATCTGCCTACATAGGTGTCTGTTTTGTAGAGATTCAACTGTACTCTCCAGGAACTTAAGCACTGTATTCCTTCTGCTTGCTTATTTATAGAAACAACTTTTATTTCGTTTGGAACATGTAGGCCATTGAATAAAAATAATGTTCTAACCCGTTAGTTGTCAGGAAATTCAGGCTACAAAATTTGAATGCTTAATTTGCTATTATTTTGTTCTTAGATTTTCAAGCTTGGTTCATCAGTGGCCTTTGTGTTCTTTGTAACATTAGCAGCATTTCCTTCCCTGACATCAAGAATAAGATCTGTCAATGATGGCGACAAAACAGTTTGGACAAGTGAGTGTCTGATGCTTGATGATAAAAATGATATGTTTGCCCTAACTGTGGAAATAACAAAGAATTGAACATGTTGTTTGTTTTTCTAAAGGTACCTATTTTGTGCCAGTTACCTGCTTTCTATTGTTCAATGTTGGTGACTTCTGTGGCAGACTGGCAGCATCTTTTGTACAGTGGGTATGTATTTAAAATCCATGTGCTGCAACTATCACTCAATCAACCCATCAATCAATTGATCAGTGACTACTCATTATAATTCATTTTGGCAATAGTAATAGTATATCCTTGTTTTGCCGTACTCTCCAAAGGGAGGTATTGGTCTAGTTACAATAAAGGTTTGAACATTAACTATGGGAATGCATCAAGCAAGTTTGTGCCTGCCTACTGTCCACACATAAAGTATTTGTTAAGTACCATGGAATCCTAATTTTTCAACACCCCCCCCCCCCCCCCAACAATTTTTTTCAAGACTCAATGAATTAAACAAATTTTAACCTTCTTGGCAAAAAAGTTAGGAGAAATCTACACTTAATTTTGCAAACCTCCCAATTTTTGGAACCAATTCCCATTCCACTAGATGATTTGAAAAGCTAGAACCCCACAAAACGTTAGTTGAAATTTACACTCAATTTGCAAACTTCCCAATTTTTTAGACCAATTTACATTCCCCTAGATGGTTTGAAGTTTTCGGATTCCTCTGTATTTTGTCTGTGTTCCTTTGTATTGTAAAGACTGGAAGATTAGTGACTTGTTGCACAGCTGCTGTTAGTAATAGGCAACCAGCTAAATATACAACCAGTGACCAGAGAAAATCTTGTTGCTATTTTTTTTCCCTAATCACTATCTTCCTGAACTTTCTTTCAGCCTGGTAAAGATGGTGTGCTTCTTCCGCTCCTCTGCTTCTTGAGAGTTGTATTTCTTCCTTTGTTTGCATTTTGTAATGCACAGCCAAGAGAGCATTCTTCAGTATTTTTTCATGAAGATTACTTCCCCATTCTGTTCATGGTGCTGTTTGCCATCTCAAATGGTTATTTGGGAAGCTTGTGCATGATGTACGGACCATCGTAAGTAAAAAATATCATTTTCTGTTGTTTGCATTTTGTGTTTATTCTTTGGAGAGGACTGTATGCTGGAAACATTTAACTTTCAAACCCCAATTTCTGCCGATACTACAAAAATATCATCCCACATACAAAATTACAAAATTTGTGTCCATTCAAATAAAACTCTATTAACCAGTGCGGTTTATTATGCTATACAAGGTTGTTGTACTGTAACTTTAACATCTGTGGATGAAACCCTAGTGTGTGACTATTCAAATAAAAGCTATTGAGCAGTACTTTCATGTGGTACTGTTTGTTATACTGTACAAGGTGGTTCTAACTTTTAAGTCTGTGGATGAAACCCTAGTGTGTGACTATTCAAATTAAAGCTATTGAGCAGTACTTCCATGTGGTACTGTTTATTATGCTGTACAAGGTGGTTCTAACTTTTAAGTCTGCGGATGAAACCCTAGTGTGTGACCATTCAAGTGAAAGCTATTGAGCAGTACTTTCATGTGGTACTGTTTGTTATACTGTACAAGGTGGTTCTAACTTTTAAGTCTGTGGATAAAACCCTAGTGTGTGACCATTCAAATGAAAGCTATTGAGCAGTATGTTCATGTGGTACTGTCTGTTATACTGTACAAGGTGGATCTAACTTTTCAGTCTGTGGATGAAACCCTAACATGTGACCATTCAACACTTAAACACTGCAGTCCTTGGGAGTGAAACTTAGCAGCTTCGATATTTCTTTTCCATTACAGCACAGTGGAGCCAAAACATGCAGAGACAGCAGGCACTATGATGGCCTTCATGTTGATCATTGGCTTAGGAATGGGAGCAGGATTTTCATTTGTTATCACCATGTTTCTCTAACAGGACTTTCAAACTGCTCACTAATCACTTCTTCCTGGAGTCCTGTGTCTAGCACCTTAGGGAGGCTAAGCTGGGGTGTACACTTAGAAGCAGTTCTGCAGCAGTGATTGCAATGGAATTTACAGAAACTTCTGGGCTTGCTTCCCCGTGTGGATCACAGAGTTATTCATATGTGTTCTGAAATCAGCTGTAGTGTGAATTGGTTGACAGTATAAGCTGCAGTTTTATCCAGTTGATTCACAAGTTGGTGGTGTGAGGACCACTCAGTGCAATTGAAACCTGGAAATAAACGTTAAAGTTAATGAAAACGAACATTGTTAATAACAGCCAAAACAATTATATAAAATTTTCAGATCATCATGGTTTGATGCCAAAAACGTACAGTCAAACCTCTTAAACATAGACACACGGGTTTCATCAACATTTTCAGCAAGAGGGCAACTGGTTTTCACAGGTGGGAAAAACTTTTTGAACTGAACTTCTTAATAAGAAAAACTTTCCTTTGGAGGGTCAAACCAGACAGACAAAATCATCCTCACAGCCGGCCAATTTGCACAGTGCCCGGCCCTTAATGAAACCCTTGGTCTAAGAGACACCAAATGACCCGAGGTGGAACATTTGTCTTCTGGAGGTATGCATATTTTAGAGGACTTACCGTAATATGAATTCTAGTTTCTCTGGGACAGCATGAACTGTCGGTGTATAGAGGTGTCTGTATAATAACTGTCTGCAAAGAGAGGTTTGACTGTAATGCTTAAAAATAAGCAATATATTTATGAAAGAAGGTTGAATCCCTAATTTACTTTAGTGTCAGAAGCGTCTTCCACATTGGAAGACTTATTTTGTGGGTTAGAGGTTATAGCATTGGTATGGTGTCAGTGTGATGTTTGGTAAAATGCTGAAATTTTAAGAAAGCTTAAAGACTTCAATATTTAAGAAATAGAATAAACATGTACTGGGTTTCTATCAAGTTATAGAAACATGAGTGGAAGTTTGGGAGTACGAGAAATGCTGTGGGAACACGAGCCGCAAGGGAGTGTTTCCACACCTTTTTCAAGTTCTCCCAAACTTTCACAAGTGTTTCTCTAACTCGATAGAAACATGGAGAAGATGTTTTCTATTTCTTTTAGAAAATACCGCGACTAAAAAAGGAAAACAACTAGTTAACTGTGATTATCAAAATGTAACTCCTCATTGCTCGTGCCATCATTACATCAACAGCTCGCCCTAGTTCTGTGTTTCTATCGAGTTATAGAAACACGGTTTTTAACCAATCAGCGAGCATATTTTCTTAAGACTGTTTTCTGAAATTATTTTGAATATAAATTCAGCTATGAAAGTTATTATAAACAGAGAAAACACTTTCTGGACTTCTTTTTTATTATCATTGTTGAAATTTATTACAGTGCAGTATGTTTCTATCACTACAATGTCCATTTTAGATGTACACTCTGTCCCATTTTAAACTGTGTACATTTCGATTCACTGATCTGGGCAGAGAAGGTTATTGCTTTTGAAACTGTCGTCTTTGATAAGCTAAATGCCAGCTTGAAAAAATATTTTGAAAGTATCCTTACTATCCAATTTTACATTTTCATCAGCCATTTACATACATGTGTGGTAGTATCATTCATTGCAAGCTATTTTAACTGTTCATACAATTTTCATGCAGGGGCACTCTGTTCTTGAAATCTATTTTAACAACACTGGCTACATAGCTCAATGTAATACTGTTCTTTTCAAACTTGCATGAATTACCATTCTCTTTTAGTCTAGAAACTGAACAGAACTACTTTTATAATTGAAGAAAAATACAAACAAAGCCTTACATACTTTTATATTACCACACTTAAAGATACAATAAAAATGGCAGTTAACATTTTGGATAAAAGTTTGCATTCAAGCCAAGTGGCCCGTCAGGCCGGGGCTTATCTTTGGTTTTAGTAGTATTTTTAAGCAATTAGGAGTATTTCTACACCCCCCTGGATGGGATGTGAGTCCATCACGGGATTACACCCAGCATTAAATTTGCCGGTTCCCATTTATACATCTGGGTGGAGAGAAGCACTGAAAGTAAAGCATCTTTTCAAAGAACACAGCACAATGGTCCCAGCCAGGGCTCGAACTCAGACCACTCAACCCGGAGGTGACATACTCACCGCGAGTCCACCACACCTCCACACATTTTTGATAAGATGTGCATTAATTACTGTACCCCCGATAACATGTGAACTCTGCACAATCAACAGTTGTGTTTGTTTCCGTCAGTTATCTTCAGGGATCTCATTTTTGATCCGTTTCGTTTGTTTCCTTTTTTTTTTTTCAAAGTTCATTGGCTTTTGCCATGAGTGTGATTTACAGCAGTCAAATATACAGTCATAAATTAGTTTTTGAACGTCAGAGTTCATGTGTTATTGAAAGGCACAGTAACAAAAATATTGGAAGAAAATTTGGGTCCTGTTTTGTAAAATAGCTTAAGACTGTACCAGCCTGCAGAACATGTAGTAATTATGAAGCCGATCTTTTGGCTTATCACATATTCCTCCCAAATGTTGGGAAGGAGTGCACAAATATTGGAATGAATTCATGTATGTGGACCACCTGAACATTTTCAATCAATCACAGCAGAGTTTTAAAAGAATGGAGAAAAAGTGGGTTCATGCTCTCACCAGTCATGTTGAAGCAGTGCAATTGTTAGACACTGTTACAAGACGCAATATTAAATGCAATGTGCAATCCAACAATGACAACAAAAAAGCATTGCAATTTGCAGTGGTGCCAGCAATAGTGGTGTCTCCAGTTCACAGTTGTTTAAAATGAACATTAAAGTCAAATGTTAGCTTGAGGTCCTCCTCTCCCCCTGTCCAATGCTATTGGATCAACTTTTTCGACCGCAACTGGTTGATATGATTGGCGAATCTCATTAGAACACTTTTCAAACCATTTTCGGTTGAAATGCGATAACTCCTGGGAGTAGTCATTGCGCAACCTTTAACCATGCGGCATAATCACGCAAATGCTTTTTTAACTGTTTCAACCTGTTTTGAGGCTGGTTGAAAACTTTGGTCAAACAAAACCAATCGCAAACAGTTTTTTGCCAATAAGACACCAAAACATCCAACCAACCAAAACGGGTTGATCCCAATAAAACACAATCTAAAACCATTGTTCTGGTAGAGGGGGGCAACTACTTTAAAACTCTTATCACCCTGAAACAATTATACAATAATTTGTAACTAATCTTAATAAACACAAACTCAGCATCAGGAGCGGGCATGTCGTTCATTGATACAGGATACAGTGTGTGTTACATCATCATAAAGAAAGAGTACAGTGGTGAATAAACAAAAAAACTAAAGAAAAGTTGAAAGAGATGCCTTGAAAGGGCTCTTGCAGAACTTACAAAATCTTAACTAGCCTACTAGTCCGTTGAAATTCATCATACCTGCAAACATGCCTAAAACACTTCTATAGTTAACACGAATCATACATAATGAACATCTCCAGTGTAACTAGCAAACCATTACAAAATGTATTTATTTGCAGACCATAAATAGTGTTGCAAAAGCTTTTGTAAACCAACTAAAACAATGACTATCATGAACATACAAGGTTAGTATATAGCAATCAAGTTAAATCAGTTTGATCTGAAAGAGGAATATTGTGTTGATCAAAGCAAGATGAAATGAATTTTGCTGATTGAATATCAAGTCATAATCCATCAAATATTTTCGCTCATGCGAGATTGGTCTAAACGCGTCGTGACCGATCTCGGATATTCCCCAGTTTTAGCTGGGGAATATCCGAGAACATTCCCCAATTTTCAAAACTGCGTGCGTTGCGAAAAAGATTTGAATAATAACCACAATATCCTCCATTTGGGGAGAAAATATGCTCGGATATTTGTCCTTGGACATTATCTGTTCCTCGATGCTCACAGTTTTCCTCGAGCTACACTCTTGGAAAACTGTTCACTTCTTGGAACATAATGTCCGCGGACAAATATCCGAGCATATTTTCGCACCAACTGGAGGCTGTTGTTTATATATGTTCACTGTCGGCTTGTAACAAACAATTGTCTAAAAGTCAGAACAATATTTTCTATTTCTCTATAAAATTCATCTTAGAATAGAATATTTAATGCAATAAAAAAGAAAGTGAGATTCGTCTTCAATTTGAAAGGAGAGTCTGTTAATCCTTAGAATTTGATCACATCTAAAAGGAGAGAGGGTTAAAGTTTTCTTTCATATTGCAGGTTTAATAATACAGCAGTCCACTATTAAAGAAACCAGGCCAGTGCCCTCTTTCAAAGGCACGGCTGAAAATGTGCACCCATGAAGGAACAAAGACAGAAAAATTGAGACTAAAACAACTTTTGAAATGCATTCCTTTGGGATGATCCAGATTAGCATCAATGATGCAAGATCACTCCAATCATGGTGCACTAAAGTAGACTGTTCACAGCCCTCTATTTTCTATTTTTATTTGATCATTGAATGCGCAGATAGAATCGCGAGAGAACCGGACACCAGCACAAAAGGGAGACTTGACATGGTTAGGGACCAAGGAAAATAAAGGGGCTGTAGACATCTTTGGAAAAAAGAGGAAAGAGGCAGTGCTGTTAACAACAACGCAATAACAGGGGAGGAGCCTAATAAGTCCACTTATTTCCAAAGATGTCTACAGTCTTTCTATTCTTCATTTGGCTCGCTTTGCTCGCATTCCCATCCCCATCCCTGCATGCTTTGCACTCGCTTTTTCTTTCGCGTGCGTTGAAATACAGAGAGGCTGTGAACAGTCTAGCATCAAAGGAACTGTTGAACCTTTGCCCAGAGTGGATTCATCACTTCCTTTGAGGCACCATGATCTGACTGATCTTAGATCATTGATCCTGATCCGGACCATTCCAAAGGGACACACCCTTGATTCAGTGTCCATCTACACTCCAGCCAATCCTTCTGACAATGATCTGTTTGCCGTCAATAGCATGCTTACTTCTGGCCATTATTCTATCAATATGAGCAGTGTCTCTGAAAGTTAGCATAGCACTTTGCAAGTTTTTGTTGCCTCCCCATCTTCTCATACTCATGTCGATTAAATCCCCAAATGCTTTAAAGTACAATCTCAAATCACTCCTTGTTACAACTCCTGGAATCTTATCCACAAAGACCTTTACTTGGCGATCCTTGTTTCCCTTTTCAGAAGTTGATCTCTTTACTAAAACCTCTTTCCCTTTAATAATATGACAGCCAGTCTCCTTCACTATTGTCTCAACAGCCTCGTCATCAAAGAAACCAAGAAATGCAATGTCTCTGTTCCTGTGTTCGTTATGACCACGGTGAAATATCAAATCTACAAATGCTAATTTTCCAAATTTTTTAAAGTAGTTTCTTAAGTGCTCCACTTTTAGACCTTCTGGGACCACTTCAATGATAGCTCTACCTCTGATGTAGGCCCTTTTGGGTCTTGCAGTGAATTTCTTCACCTCTACAACACTGTGACCAATGGTTTGCTTTGGTGACTCCAAAGCCCTTACTACTCCACTTAAAGTCGTGAACTCTACAAAGCAATATCTTTCTTTTTCAACTTGTGGTTTGTTGTGAACAAACTCTACACCAGCAACCTCTCCAAACTGTGAGAAATGCTCTTTTAAGAGTGCTTCTTTCGACTCTGACGGAATGTTGCGAACACAGATCTTCCTTGAACGTGGTCTGTCAAATAGATTTAAACGCTCTACACTCACGCTTCTCGTGTGGATGTTGTGGTTTTGAGATAGAATCTTCTCGACGCTGGAGACATCTCTGAACTCTACAAAAGCATGAGGCCAAATTTTTTTCACCGATTTACTTGGCATCAAAGCAACCTGTTCTACTACACCAAACTGTGAGAAGTACTCCTCGAGTGATTTTTCCGTTGCTTTTGGACTCAGCTTGCCCACAAAAACTGTTCTATCCTCTGGGTGCGCAAGATGGTTGCTTGTACTGACCTGTTCGTGGTTAGCGCTCAATGTTGAATGATCAGTATGGGTGACTTGCAGCTGACATTGAGAAAAAGTTGTGCTGGAAAATTTAGCCTGGTTGAAAATTTTTCCATAAGAATGAAAGAATAAGCCGTTCTTGAGCAGCGGAGGAGAAAACCGAAAGCGAGAAACTGACCGCAAAGAAACCCTGGAGATATGGACGACGCCCGCCATGATAGCCGCCATGATGTGGTTTATCTGATGGTCATGTATGTGTAATCAGGTGTCCGTAAAAATTTCTTACATTCTGATTGGTCACAAGCTCAAGGTCGACATAGAAAACCACTTTATGGTAATCACGGCTAAACTGGAATTTCCTTGCGTCGAAAATGGATTCTATCCATGAAGGTTACGAATATCTTGACAACGGCGAGGAACTCTCCTTTTCTAGAAATCATAGTGGCCTGGTAAACGGTTACTCGGAGCATAAACCCGATTTTGAAGATCCGACGGAAATCAGACAGAACTTGAGGAATGCTATGAAGGGAGCTCGGCAGAGGATCGCAAACCTTCGCTTAGACCTCGAGGAGAAGTAAGTGAAAATTGACAGTCATTTACGCCTTCATTCCATGCAATCTTACATTTATTCAATTGGTCGTGAGTCAAGATATAATTAGTTTCATATCTTTGCTGCAAAAATGCTCAAACTTTTTGTGGTTTGTTTGTTTCGAACGTTCAATTGCTTCGCAATTTTCGGTAGCAACGGAGAGTGGCAAAGACGCCGTCGTTAAATTAATCAAAGACAAGTCTCGAATCTGTCTCTATTTATCTCTTGCAATGACTGACGAATGAAGATTAAGCAGTTTTGGGACTGCTTTTAAGTAGAACGAAAGTTACAAACTCTGCAGTCGTAGTTATTTCGTTTTTCCGCCTGTCCTGCAGACTAAGGCATTGATAGAAAGTGGTGTATGTTTGTATTTCTGTAGGGCCACTTCAAAACAATACGATCGTTTCGGAAGGTTCAATACAATACACGCTACAATTATCATGTTCCGCGATATTGTATCATATTTTCGTAGGATATATAATATGTAAGATCCGGTATTTCAGCTGTAATTTGTTCCAACCACCTGTCGTTTGATAAAAGCAAACATGTTGAAGCAAAAAAATATTTTCGCTGGTGGTGAATATAAAATTCAAATAAATTACAGCTGAAGAATGTACCGGTAATGCTTAATTTCCGCTCCATTCTTTTATAACTCGTTTCTCTTTCTGTCTGTATTTAAAAAAAAGGAAAAAAAACAGAAAAGCGGTATTTTAATGATCTTCTGGGGAAGTTATGGCACCCAGCCATTTTTAGAGTAGAATTTCTTCTATGCATTAATTTGGTATGATATCAAGGCAGTTATGCAGAACTACAGTAAGCTCAAATTAAACGTAAATTTTACCCATCTAGTTTCTTTTTTGGCATTAGACCACTCTAATATTGGTGAAAGAAACCATCTAGTTGTTAGATTATGTTATCATCAACCCAAAAATATTTACTATGCAACATGTAGAATAATGATGGGATGTGCAGAGTGTGTAAAGTATAGAAGAGTTTAGTGGTATGCAGATTCAAGCAAAACAGAACTTTATTTGCCTTCCCTTGTCTAGATGCTTCAACTTCATTGGTCCATTTTGGAAAAGGATCAGCGTCCATTTTCTCAAATTAAAAACATTTTTATTGGTCAGTCTTAGTCCGAATGGCCTGGTTTATACTATGATTATCAGTTGAGTGAGGCACAAGGGAAGTTTGGTTACGAAGTTTTGGCCTTAAAATTATGGTGTTGTCATGGGCAACTTACCTCATTTCGGTTGGTAACAATATCAACAGCCGTTGGTCGTCTGTCGCATTGACTACAATTTCGTGTGCTTTGCTGCCATTGACGTCAAAGGCTGACAAGTCGTCAATGGATACGGAGCCAGTTGCTCGTGACAACAACATGATTTTTACGTTAAAACTTGGTGACCAAACTTTCGTCCTGCCTTACTCAACTGATAATCGTAGTAAGTAGTTGCACTTTGATAAAATAAATTAAATTATGAGACCTCAGTACAGTCAAACCTCCACTAATGACCACCTACAATGGCTGCCTCTCCACAACAGCCACATTTTTTGGTCCCAGTAGACAGTTCATCCATTCACTCTTATTTTAACCTCTCTTCAACAGCCACCTTTCCACAACGGCAACACCTACAGTTGAACAGCCACTTAAACTGGTGCCAACTGGCCAAAATAACCTCTCAACAATGGCCATTAATCAAAGACTGACAAACAGTGTATACGAAACCCCAATGCATCGTTAGTCTTTGTTTCTGTTAAGTTCTTATTCTACTGATAAATAGTTTTATTTTTTATATGCTTAAATAAGTATTTTTTGACAAAAATTGTTGTAATCCCGAAAAAAAAAGCTGGTATCATATTACACTCCTACCTCCCCATAACAGCCACCTCTCTCCAATAGCAACTTTCCTCCATTTCCAAGGTCACTGTTGTGGAGAGGTTCGACTGTGTCTAGAAGTTTAGTCAATCATCTTAGACATAAAAAGCTAAAAAAATCACTCTATTTGTCTTCAGGGATAAGCTCCTCAGTTCTGAAAAGTCATTAAGACAGCAACTGGAAACAGAATTAGCCGAGAAAACTGAAGAGTTATACAAGGAAAAAGTAACAAGTAAACATGGCGAGACTGGCAGATACTCTCCAATGAACATGACCAGTTTTGACACCTCATCAATCAAAGAAGAATTATCACTTTCACAACGTTTAAATCTACAGGTAATTTGTTTGTGTTTTACCAAAAAGTAATTTGATATCATGTATATTATAGGTTTTTTTCTAAGCCATCAGGCACTTATGCCCAGAAATGCACGTGGTAATGAAATTGGCAAATTTGATGAAATTTTGTCAAACTGAGTGAATGGTGATGCATCAGGCAATTTTGGCAAATTTTAGTCAAATTTGTCAAAACCAAATCAGCTTAGCAGAGTTGACAATTTGGCGACTTTTTGCCAGCCATAACTATGCAAATTATCTCATCAGATACAGTCCTAATATATTAGCAGATTTGATGAATTTGGCAAAGATTAATATGCAAATTACGTCATCAATTAGTTAATACCTTGTTTTGGAATGCCCAGGAAAGCCAAGACTTTGTTGAATGTCAATGCTTCTATATGCATTGTGTACCTTATAAGATCTTGGCAAATATTCTTGAAAAGAGTACACATAGCAGCTTTGTTGAGGACCTAAAGTGTTCTCAATGTTTTTGTTAGGATTTCACCTGGAGTCTAAAATAAACTCTTTTGGAGTCTTGTAAGAAGCTTGGCACGAAGAAGCATGCATGAACAGTGAAGATAGGAGTTTGGGAATAATGAATGAAAATTTATATATTTCTGTAAGGTTCCCAGAAGATCTTAAATCTTTGATGATCCTCAAGCAAAAATATTTTCATCCTGGGTATTTCAAAAAGCACTTGCTGTAGTACAAGCTGTACCATATCTTAAAGTCCCTATTATCATTACCATTGTCATCATCATCATTATCATTATCATCGCCAGCATCATTATCATTATCACCAGCTCAGCAGTAGCATCGTGATTATCACCACCAATATCATCCTCATCATTTCTCTTTGTACCAGAAACGTTTTGTACCAGTAGGTGTGAAAGGCCTCACTTAGCACATCTACATCAGTAGTTTAATAGATTCCCGTAAAGTGTCAGTGTTGATATTCTGTATCCTGTTAGCTTTCAGAGAAGTTATCAAAAGCAGAAGCTGAAATCCAGGCATCAAGGATGAGTCGTGACGAGCTGTTAGCTCAAACAGAGTCAAAAATTGCTGCACAAGGAGCAGGTATGAAGAGCAATTCAGCAGTGTAACTTGCTGCTAAAAAGCGACAATCTTGGTCAAATTGAATGAAAAATTAAGACAATCCCTCCCCCCTTTTCAATGATGGAAAAAATGCTGCATTTTGGTTGTGTTGCGAGTTCATCATAGATTTACAGGGAGGTGTGGTTTTATTTCTTTTTTTATTCTGACCAAGATTGTAGATTAATTCGATAACATACATTCTTGTGTATACCAGTCAAGTGATCTGTGTTTGACATCACCCTGGGCCTCCGTATTTAGTTGTTCCCTTTTGAGTTTTGTTTTCCCCAAGTTATAGATACACTAGATCTAGATCTTTTAATATCTAGGTACACTCTCAGATCTAATTTAGGGCCATGGTACATTGTAATTTTGAGTGACTCTTAGTTTCGATACCTGAGAACGCAGTTCAACAGTATGAAAGCTAGTAAATAATGCCTATCAAGGATTAAACATTCATTGAGAATTTAATTCTCTTGTCAAGTATTATCATCTGTCCTCATCGCGCTATGGGACGCATAAGATCCAGGTATAAATCATGATATTTTTAATGTTTTTGAAATGCTCTTTTGTCATTTACAGCTCTTGTTGAAAAAATATATCAAGCACAGAAAGAGCGTGATGCTGCTATGAATGCAAGACTTGAAATGGCTTACAGTGAACGAGAGGAATTATTGGACAAACTAAGGCGAAGTGAAAGAGAACACACAGGGTAGATACTGAATAATAGACTGTTTGAATATGTTCTTAATAGCTGGGTGTTGCTAAGTTTTTTTAGTTACTCAACCTGTTGAGTGCCTATATGATGTACACAGTACATCAAGATTTTTGCCTCTCAGGTGTCTATATGATGAACTGAGTACGTCAAAATTTCAAGAGATTTTATTAGTCAAACTCCAGAAACACCAGAGGTTTTCCTAGAGGCCATAGGTGGGTTTTCAAGAGACTGCTAATTTCCCATTGCTGTGACATCATATGGATATCAAATTAGGTCAGCCTCAGCAAAATCACCACATTGAAGAGATGCTTTTATGACCTTTCAGAAAATGTGTTCATGTCTATAGTTTAAACGAAAAGCTTTTGGCATTTGAAGTTTTTTTACTAGACACCCATTTTCAATGAAAATGTTTGGCACACACTACACCCAATGGTGTGGCACTCAAGGGGTTAAAAACTTAGTAGAGAGCTGATGAGAAATATAGAGGTGGTCATGGTAGCATGTCCCCAGCTCCCTAAGCATGTGCCCCCGAAATTTTGAAATCTATAGTCTAAGCAACCACTGCTTCTTGGATGCAGATTCCATAATAGTTTCCTGAGATGTGTGAGACTACATGTAGAAACTATTGACAGAAGTGAAAATATCCTAGGAGGTATTCCAGGAGTAGACTACAATTTTGGAATTATAGATCAACACACTCGGCTAAACCTGTCAAATTATACATCAATTGCAACCTGAAAACAGTGATGCTTTGCAGTTTCCTTCAGCAGTATAATTATTGATAACTGGAAGACTTCTCATCAGCAGGTAAGGTACATGTACAATGAGTTGAAAGTAGGTGACTGGAGATGACCAACTTACCCGTGGTTTTGGCCAGCTACTGACCTTTAATAACACCCCTGAATAAATAAGTGCTAGTCTACCAAATTTTTAAAATTTGGTAACAATTTTAAGACTAATAGATTGTTGTCTTTGATTGACAGATTTGATTCTGGTGTTGATAGCGTCTATGATGAAGAAGAAACTGAACCGGTATGTCCATACACTTGAAAAGAAATGTGATTCATGAACATCTTTTGAGTAAGCTTCTTCTAATACTACTGAACAACTCATGGGCCCAGTTATTCAAAGGCTGGATAATGCTATCCACTGGATAAATCGCTATCCAGTGGATAAGTGTTAACAAAACAAACCACACAATCTGCTGGATAGTAGTTTATCCCCCAGGGGGGGGGGGTACTTTGGGGATTTCTGGGTGGGGATGTGCCGCTGGAACCCTGGAACCCTTAGCCTTTACCAGAGCTAGTTCAGCTGAATTTTGCT